AATGTATTACTTGCTTCAGAGGTACAGATCTGTGATTCAACAGTCTTGCACACTTCACAGCGCTCAGGAGAAATAAAAGAACTAAAATCTAACCAAGTCGAAATCAAAAAGGCTATTAATGAGGTGCAATTAAAAATGGGCGCTCTAACTACCCTCTTAAGCCTTCTAATTTATACCTAAATGAGGAAGCCTAAGATAGGGACTGCCGAGAGGAAAGAAGGTTTAGGAGGTCCTTCTGGGGTTAGCCCAGCAGCTGTGTCTCTTTGTCACTGTGTCGCTGTCCAGGGGGCCCCCCTCTTGTTCCCGTGGATCATGTGTGTGTTGGCTGCTGGGCCAGTGTATTTCCCGTCTGCTTGGTTTATTGGGTTGTTAGCATCAGTGTGGCTCAGGTATGCAGATGGGAAATGGCATCGCAGGCTTCTTTACGAGTCATTGTTTATTAAGGGGAAATTACTAAATGCAGAAAAAAAGCTCATGTTGATATGAGGCTGGATCAGTTAGAAGTGTTTTATGTAGAAGTATATCTGGGGTTCTGTGGTCATCACTTACTAAGGAGGCTATAAGTTGAGATCAAATAATAGTATTGATTTCCTGTAGAAGAAAGAGTGGTCAGTTGGGAGTCAGTAGACTGACTTCCTTCCCTCACTCCCGTCTTTCTGTATTTATTGAGAACCTTTTATGTGATACGTCTGGCAATGCAGAGAAACACAAGATACAGTATCTCCTTCAAGGAACCAGCCTATTAGAGGGGACAGACAGGAATATTCAGGTTATGTGTATATATTTGTGTGTATAATATATAATATATATGTAATCTTTTTTTTAATAAGGATATTCAGACTATTTATTATTTAGAGTGATTTTATGATAGGTTCAGATCTTTCATCTAGCTATTTGTTTTCTACTTGTCTCGTGTGTTCTTTGATTTCCTTTGTTCCTGTTTTCTGCCTTCTTTAGATTATTTTTTTTATGATTCAGTGTTACATCCTTGTTGGCTTATTACTAACAGCACTGTCTTGTTCTTCAGTGGTTGTTGGCGGTTTTACACTATATCTCTGTATCATATCACAGTATATCTTTCAGGTGATAAACTGAGAAGCAGCTTCAGTAGCAGTATGCCTGTTTTCCCCTTGCCTCCCTCTAAGCAATTGTTATGCCTTTTACTTTTCCAAGTGTTATAAACCTACACTATGCTGTTATTATTTTGGCTTGATTGGCCATTTATCAAAGATTTCAATAATTAGTAACAATCTTACATATTGACTCAGGTAGGTACCACTTCGGTGCTTTTCATTCCTTTGCGTAGATCTGTGTTCTCTCTGGCAGCCCTTTCATTCTGCCCGAAGGGCTTCGTTTGGCATTTCGTGTAGTGTAGGTTTTTTGGTGATGAATTATTTCAGCTTTTGTGTATCTGAAAGAGGCTTTAATTTGCCTTCATTTTTGAAGGATATTATTTGATGGATGTGGAATTATCGATTGACACCTTTTTTTCTTTTTCTTTTCTAGGTGTTCCTCTGATGAGGCTTGTGTTCTCATCTTTCATTTGTTCCTTTGAATATAATGTTTTTACCCCCTGGCTACCTTTAAGATCTTCTCTTAATTACTGATTTTGAGCAATTTAGTTATAATGTGTTTCAATGTAGTTTTCTTCATGTTGCTTTTACTTGGGACTTGTTGAGCTTCCTGGTTTTGTGGACTTATAGTTTTAATCAAATTTGGACAAATTTTGGCCATTATTTCTTCAAATATTTTTCTGTCACTGCTTCTCTTCCTTGGGGACTTCAGTTACATGAATCTGACCTACAGTTCACTGATGTTCTTTTCATTATTTAAAATTCTTTTTTCTGTTCTACCTTTCGTTTTTGCATAGCTTCTGTTTCTGTGTCTTCAGGTATGATTTAGTAATTTTTTTTTTCTCTAATGTCTAATCTTCCATTAATTCTATCCAGGCATTTATAGTTTTCATCTGTAGAAGTTGAGTTTGGGTCTTTTTATAGTCTCCATGTCTCTACTTAACTTTTTGAGCCTACGAATTACAGTTACAACTGTTTTAATGTACTTCCAACATCTGTGTCATTTCTGGATCAGTTTGGTTGCTAGATTATTTCCTCATTGGTCATGTTGCATGCTTGGTAATCTTTGATTGGATGCCAGATCTAATTTTACCTTATTGGGTGCTAGATATTTTTGTATTCCTATAAACATTCTTAAGCTTTGTTCTAGGATGAAGAGCAGTTACTTGGAAACAGTTTGAGCCTTTTAATCTGGCTTTTATGACTTGTTAAGTGAGACCAGAGCTTACTCACTATATGGCTAATTACTTCTGGTTATTGGGGCAAAACACTTCTGTGTATTCTGTTCAATGCCTTGTGAATCTTAAGCCTCTGACCGGTACGAACAGGCACAGTTCCCAGCCAGCTGAGCACCAGGCATACCTCTAGGCCTTTCAGATGGTTCTTTCTCAATCTTGGTGAGTTTTTCTCTCACATGTGCACTAAGCAGTACTCAGCTAGATATTTCTGGAAATCCTCTGCAGGTTCTTGAGTTTAATCTCTGCGTAGCTCTTGTCTCTCTGGTACTCAGTTCTGCAAAGTCTAGCCATGTGGGCTCCCCGGACTCTTGCTTCCATGTCCTCAACTTAGAGAGGATACTGAGCTGTTCTTGGATTGCCTCTCCCTGCTGCATGGCCTAGAAACTTTCAAGGCAGTAAGCTCTGGTAATGGTAGGGCTCACCTTGTGTGTTTCCCATCTCCCTGAGCTTACGGTCCCTTGTTGCCTGATGTTTCATGTCTTGGAAACTGTTGGTTCATATATTTTGTCCCATTTTTGGCATTTCAGGTGGGAGAGTAAATCCTCTGTTACTTAATCTTGGTTAGAACAGAACTGTACACTATGATTTTTAGCAGCTGCATACTTTTGGCTTATCTTTGCATTGTGGTCAGCCACAGGTCTCTCCATTCTGTACTTTGCAGTTTTCTTCATACCTACCTAAGTGCAAAATTTTGTAAAACCCTATGTATCTTGGAAGAGAAGGATATAAAGAGCTAATTTAATAAGAATGTGATTTCTGTGATGATGGTATGAAGAACATATTATATAGGAATCCAAAAGAAGAACTAGAATTTTTCTCTGGGAATCTTTTAAATGCTTTTTCTGCATCTGAGATTAGTTACTCAGTTGGACTAGTTCCATCTTCAAATAGATAAGTAGTGCTTTGCTTATTTATGTGCAAGATGTTTACATAAATATGGAAGAGAATAAAAGACAGCCCTGTAATATGGCCACTAGAGACCTGTAGTCCAAATTGACATTGTTCCATTAATCATCACCCTGTGAATATGGATATTTAACCAGCCACAGATCCACTTATGCCATCATCCAGACTATAGTTCTCCTTTTGCCTCATTTGTCTGCAAGTCAAGAGTCTTTTTGTACAAGAGACTCATAATTGTGGCTTATTACTTGAAGCCTCGTGAAAAACTTTATTAAATGCTTTCTGAAATCAGAATGTTCTACTTGTTTGCTCTTCTAATTTATTAAAAAAGGATGTGATTACTTTGGCATGGCTTTTCCATGCTTTTCATGTCTTCTGTGGCTCACGAATTTTAAATGCTAGGTTATGGAGTGGTGCTGAGAATTCATGTTTGGTTACTGTTCCTAGAATTTTATTTTTCACTTCTTGGGGGCAGTATTTCTTTTGCTCATCTGATTCTTCATCTTTTTTCAGAGGTTACTGGTGAGAGTTCCCTAGTTGTTTGTTTGAAGTATATTGTTACTTGCTTTTGCTTTATGGCCCAGCATTTGTTTTTTTTTTCCCACAGTTTCCTTGGGTCCTCCAGAAGCATGTGCATTCTGTAGTTGTTGAGCGTAGTACTATGTATTCTTCGTCACCTTTACTGTGCTGTTTAGATCTACTAAGTTTTTGTCTGTGGGATCTGTTAAATACTGAAAGATGTTAAAAATTTTTTTCTATGATTTTGGATTAACGTATTGTTTCCTTCTGTATTTTTAGTCCATGTTATTAGATGCATATACATTATAACGTGTTTTATCATTCTGGTGAATTAAACTTTTAGTGTATTCTGCCACTGGGTTGTTGCCTGCCATTATTTAAGGAAAGAAAAAGGATTTTTTTTTTTTTTAAAGATTTTATTTATTTATTTGACAGAGAACAGAGATAGTGAGAGCAGGAGCACAAGTAGAGGGGTGGGAGAAGAAGAAGCAGGCTTCCTTCCGAGCAGGGAGCCCGATGTGGGGCTTGATCCCAGGACCCTGGGATCATGACCTGAGCCGAAGGCAGATGCTTAACGACTGAGCCACCCAGGCGCCCCCCAAAAAAGGATTTTGTTACAGTTTTTTAATCACCGTTTAATATGAGGCTTTGAATCAATTCAGTTTTGTGTTCCTTGTTTTTCTGTTCAGGGTATCAGTTGATTGGGAGCCACTCTGGAGTGAAGCTTTGCAGATGGACAAAGGTATTTATTTTTATTTAAATGTCATTTCTGTTTTATGCAACTTTTGTGTGGCTCTGATATGCAGCCAATGAATTTTACCATTTTAAAGAATAATTTACATTTAGTGTAATGATTTTGAATGAATTTGTTAAATGAGTTCATATATTGATGGATGTAAAAAAAAAAAAAACAAAAAAACCCGGGCGCCTGGGTGGCTCAGTTGGTTAAGCGACTGCCTTTGGCTCAGGTCATGATCCTGGAGTCCCGGGATCGAGTCCCGCATCGGGCTCCCTGCTCAGCAGGGAGTCTGCTTCTCCCTCTGACCCTCCCCCTTCTCATGCTCTCTCTCTCTCTCTCATTCTCTCTCTCAAATAAATAAATAAAATCTTAAAAAAAAAAAAAGAAATCAGAAACTATTAAACAAAAAAACCCTTCTCCACCACCCAAATTAAGATATGTATTGGCCGTTTTCCTCACCCTGATGAGTTCACTTGTGTCCATTTCTAGCCAGTAGTCCCTCCCTCACAGCCAGGAAACAGTTGTTCTAGTTGCTGTCACTAGTTTAGTTTTGCCTGTTCTAGAATTTCATATGAATGGAATCATAACGTGTATTTTTTTTGCAAGTGGATTCTTAAACTCAACATAATGTTTCTGAGATTCATCCATGTTAGTACATATCAGCACTTTATTCATTTTTATTGCTGAGTACTATTCAATAGTGTGAACGTACCACAGTTTTTAATCTGTTGAAAGGCAGTGGGGTTGCTTTCAGTTTTGGGCTATTAACGAATAAAACTCCCACGAACCTTCTTATACGACACTTTGTTATGAGCGTATGTTTCAGTTTCCTTTGGGTACATCCCAAAGTGGGAATTGCTAAGTCATAGGATAGGTATATATTTTACCTTTGTAAGAAACTCCCAGTCTGTTTTTAGTGTGGCTGTACTATTTTATACTTGGATTGGCAATTTCTGAAAGTTCCAGTTGGAACATTTTCTCGCCATCCTGTGGTATTGAAAATCTTTTTAATTTTAGCCATTCTAGTGAGTGTAAAGTGGTATGATTGTGGTTTTAATTTGCATTTTGCAGATGACTACTGATGATGAGGCACACCTTTTCATGTGCACATTGGCTGTTCTATTTGTGTAGGTCTATTGCCCAAATTAGGTTGTTTGACGTTATATTGTTGATTTGTAGGAGTCCTTCATATATTGTGGAAATGAGTCTTTTGCCCAGTATGCATTGTGAATATTTTCTCCTAATCTGTGACTTCCTCTTTTCATTTCCCTAATGGTATCTTTTGCAGTCTTGAATTTGAATAAAGGCCAGTTTGTCTTTTTATGGTTAGTGCATTTTGGTTTTTTTTTAGTTTTTTGTTTGTTTAGTGCTTTTTATATATTAAGAAATCTTTGCCAACCTCAGAGTCACAAAGATATTCTGTGTTTTTTTTTTTTTCCTGGAAGCTTTAGTTTTAACTATTATGTTTAGGTCTTTGATTTCATCTCGAATTGATTTTTATGAATGGTGTGAGATAAAGGTCAAGATTCATTCCTTTACCTGGCTCCCATGTGGATAGTCAGGTGTTTTAGCACCATTTGTTGAAAAGAATTTCCTTTTACCATTGAATTACTTTAGGCCTTTGTAAAATATCGGTCATCTGTCAATGGGTAGGTCCATTTCTGGACTCCTTATCCTGTTCCATTGGTCTGTTTGTCTATCCTTATGCCAATACCACATTGTCTTGATAACTGTGGCTTTGTAATCAGTCTGAAATTATGCAGTGTAAGTTCTCTGTCTTGTTTTTATTTTTTTATTTCCAAGATAGTTTCCACTCATCTGGGTCTTTTGCATTTCCATATAAATTTTAGAATCAGCCTGTGAATTTCTATTGTATATATTTGTTCTATTTCCTCAGATTCTGTATTTGTCTATTTGGCATCCATTCATCACAGGGCCAGTTAGATTAACTATATTTTCTTATTTTCTGTATTCTTGATGCTCTGGCTTTTGGGGGCCTTACAGACCTGGGGAAAACTGTCCCTCCCAGGGCTAGCTAATTCCTAAAGATAACAACAGCCTGCCTGGAGTATACCTTTCATATGCAAATCAACCAATCCTGAATCTTTAGCCTTCAGTTACATCCTTATCTAACTCACACACCATACCAATATTTTCCCTGCTCTACATTATCCCAGGGCCAGGTACCAGACGACCAGAGACAGTGCTATAGCCTGAATTATTCAAACAAGCCAATCCTGCATTGTTTACCCTGTCCTGGCTTGCCTTTCCTGCGGAAACCCCAATAAAAGGTCTAGGCTTTCCCCTCGCTCCTCCCTCTGCCTCCTGAACAAACCTGCTGCTCCTCTGTCACCCTGTGTGGTGTGGGTGCCCCATGTCTTGGGAAATGTAAGTAGTATCTTCTTCTTTCATTGGCATTGGCCTCTCCAGGTTGGCTGGCGGTCAGTCACTTCCATAAATTCAAATCCCATGGGTCCAAATAAGATGGCATTTTTTTTTTTTAAAGATTTTATTTATTTATTTGAGAGAGAGAGAATGAGAGAGAGCGAGTACATGAGAGGGGGGAGGGTCAGAGGGAGAAGCAGACTCCCTGCCGAGCAGGGAGCCCGATGTGGGACTCGATCCAGGGACTCCAGGATCATGACCTGAGCCGAAGGCAGTCGCTTAACCAACTGAGCCACCCAGGCGCCCTAAGATGGCATTTTTAAACAGCTTTATTGAAATATAATTTACCTATCATACATCTCCCACATTTAAAGTGCACAGTTGAATGGGTTTTAGTATATTCACAAGGCTGTGCAAACATTATCACAATCTAACTTTAGAACATTTTTGTCCCCTCTGAAAGAAGTCATGCACCCAGTAACAGTCCATCTTCATTCTCCCTTCTCCTCCCAGCCTTAAAGCACCATTAATCTACTTACTATCTCTATAAATTTGCCTCACCTGGACGTTCGCACATTATGTGGCCTTTTGTGTATGGCTTCTCTCACTTAGCATAATGTTTTCAAGGTGCATCCATGTGATAATATATATCAGTATTCCTTTCTTTTTTATGGCCAGTAATATTCTATGTATAGATATATCCCATTTTGTTGTTGTCCATCAGTTGGTGGACATTTGTTTTGCTTCCACGTTTTGGATATTATGAATGATGCTTCTATGAACATCATTATATGTACAAGTTTTTGTGTGACATGTTTTTATGTGCTTTGGTTATATACCTACAAGTGGAATTTGTGGGTCATGGTAACTATAATTATTTTTATTTTATTTTATTTTTTATTATAATGTTATGTTAATCACCATACATTACATCATTAGTTTTTGATGTAGTGTTCCATGATTCATTGTTTGCACATAACAACCAGTGCTCCATGCAGAATGTGCCCTCCTTAATACCCGTCACCAGGCTAACCCATCCCCCCACCCCCCTCCCCCATGGTAACTATGTTTAAATCATTTGAGGGACTGCCAAACTGTTTTCCAAAGTGGCTGTACTATTATATTTTATATTCCCACCTGCATCGTATGAGGGTCCCAGTTTCTCCACAACCTGCTAACATTTGATGTTTTCCATCTTTTTGATTATAGCCATCCTAGTGTATGTGAAATGGTTATCTTACAGTGATTTTGATTTGCATTTGCATTTCCCTTAATGACAAGTGTTGACTCTGTTTATGTGTACTTATTGGCCATTTGTGAATCATCTTTGGAGAAATGTCTATTCAGATCCTTGGCCGTTTTAACATTGGGTTCTTTGCCTTTATACTGTTGAGTTGTAAGAGTTGTTTATGTTTTCTGGATACTAGTTCTTTTTTTTTTTTTAAAGATTTTGTTTTATTTATTTGAGAGAGAGAGTGTGAGAGCATGAGCAAGGAGGGGGAAGGACAGAGGGGGAAGCCGACTCCCCACTGTGCAGGGAGCCCGATGCATGAGGGGCTCGATCCCAGGACCCTGGGATCGTGACCTGGATCCGAAGGCAGAAGCTTAACTGCCTGAGCCACCCAGGTGCCCCTGGATACTAGTTCTTTATCACATGTATGGTTTAACTTTCCCGCTGCTGTTGGTGGCCAAGCTGCCAGGAGCTGAGTTGCTGTAGGCCTCTGGTATCTTGGCTTCTGGTGTCACAGGACCTCCACTGCTGTCTTCTAGGCCTTTTCTCAACCTGTCCTGTCCCCATAAAGAATATTCTCCACAAAGATCTATTGTTGTGGTTTTGGTTAGCTCAAACCTGGCCGTTCTAAATAAACCAAACTTTCTTCTCCAGGCAGGCTTGACTTTTTTACATTCTTTATTCCTGTTCTTAAAAATTTCTACCCTCAGTTCACACTACTACCTCCTAATGTCTGTCTTTTACGTTGCATTTCTGTGTGTCCTGTCTATCATGACTGCTGCCTCTTCTTGTATGGGGCAAAGAAACCGCCTTTTGTCTTCCTCTCCCTCCTGGAACGGCCCTGCCCTCAGTGCTGGAACCCATAGTTGACCATTGCTTGGTGCTTCAGTGCCGTTGGTGACCCTCCTTAACAGGGAGCCCACTGCTCCAGCCCCTGTTGTTCTCAGAATATCCCAGCTTCTCAGCATTCCCCTGTGCATTCTTTTAGTGCTGTCTGCTCCCTAGTCCTGTTGCTGTTGTTTGTGAATATTTGAGAAACTCTTTTTCCTTCTTTTCTTTGCTGTTTTTCTGCCTTCACCCTTAGGGGCATGAACATTCTGATGACACTTCTGGCACCTTCTGTCATTCAGCCTGTTTTTGTGCTCAACTGTCTTTTTTTTTTTAATAAACCCTTTTAACATCCAGTATTTGTCTCTTCCAATCCAGTGATTTTCGGTAATGTCAGACTCAATGCCTGCTGCTTTTATAACCAGTGTTTTTTAACCTCCGTTTTACTGTTCTAGATTAAATTCACAGATTTACAAATATAATTTCACATATGTAATTAAGAAAGTCAGTGTTCTGTTCTAGCTGTAATGTAAGGAGAGAAAAAAGGAAGTACTTTATA